GCCCACCAGTGGCCGAGTGGTCTTCGTACCCTAAACACTGGGAGTTCGGTCGTGGGTTCGCGCCGCGATCGGACAGGCTGGCTGCTTGGAGTTTTCCGGGTTTTCTCCTTGCCAATAACGACTAAATAGGAGGCCAGTTCCCCATAAAAGTCCTCCCGGAAGGCATTAGTTCCCCTCGCATAATATCGCGCCCCAGAGAAGGCAACGGGAAACCACTCTGGGTAGTAACTTTCCCTAGTATACACCTTGGCGGATTACAAACCTACGCCAGGTGTCGCCAACGTCAGGAATCTGATATGGCACCAAGAAGAAGAAGAATACTTCTGCATGAGAGAACTCACCAACATTTGACAACATATAGAGATGACACACATTGATAAAAATCAAAGCCAGAGTCATGATTGGAGAAGAAAAAATATTCCTAATTTGCAAGATTCCAAATGATGAAAACTGAATAAAAGTTTCACATAAAAGGAGAAAAGAAAGTGGAAGTAATCCCAAAAACAAAATTGAGAAACTTCAATTAATTTCTTCTTAACCTCCATCATTGCCAGACACCTTCTATCTAACCCTCAACTTGCAGTTAGACAGGATCTACTAGTTGAAAAGATTCAGACAACCCACCTTCAGATTATTGACAATCACCTTTATTCTATATTTGTTAAACTGGTACAACAGACTTTCAACAACTTCCTAGACTCAAATTTTATTTTTGTCCTGGCTCAACTTCTGTAGACACAATGCAACTTCTGTGTTTCTATGAGTCAAAGCAGTTTTGAAATTATATTTTCTAACTCAAAATTTAAGATCCTGAGACTATTTCATGTCTAAGTTTTCTTTTGCATTTTCAATGGGATGGGATGAAGTTAAAAATCAATATTATACAGAATTATACTTCCAATTACATAATAAAATTCAAAATTTTAGCATTTTCATCTAAAGTAACAATATTATCCTTAAATATAAATTGTCCAATTATTATTTTTACTTTCCTGGCTGTTATATATAACAGAGGGAAAGTATGGCAATCGATCAAAAAATGACTCACAAGACTTTTAATTTTTGGACTTTGAACCTTGAAATGTTGAAAAATGCAAAAAAATTTGAGGTTTTTTTTCTGTATGTATAGATGTTAATGTGTGGGGAGACACAATTTTGTTCACTCTTTGAAGCTTAATAATGCCTGTGCTTTTTGTTGAAAATTTCTGAAATTTTGCAGGGAGGTTTGTTTATTGAAATATTTTGCAGGGGAAATTGATGCTATTAAATTTTGGTGATTAAAGGTCAAGGGGGTGGAGAGCTAAAGGAGATTGCGTGTACAGTCGACCCCCCTATAAGATATAGATACGTTCCAATTTATTAGGAATCCGATTTCTTACAAGTCGTTCCAATCACAGCCCGAAGTTTACGGACTACGGCTGATTGAAAGGTTTTCTTCCATAAAATTAATCGATTCTACACTAATCCGACTCAACATTTCCAAAATACGTATATTTTTTCGTAGTTTTATAGGAATCGTAATTATAGAGACCGTAATTATAGGGGGATCGACTGTATCTCATGTAGGGTAAGATGTAATGACAATTTTATTTGTTATTAGCATTTACAATTTTTTATAAAAACCCATTTATACCATCAAAATTAAGCTTTTTGTCATTTTATAAAGGTTAAAAATATAAAAATTTTTTAAAATAAAATATGATAACAAATGGCATCAATAAATGTGGCTGGGAGAGTTAAGCAACTTGTTGCTGGATTTTTTAAATTATTATATTTTGAAAATTTAAAAATGTAACACTTTGTGATTTAATAATTTAATGAATTATTGTTCAATCAAATTTATGAGTTCATCTACATAAATTCATAAATTTGAGTGGCTTACTAAACATATATCTCCTTATTTGGAATTAAACATTCCTACTATATAAATCTCACTGTAAAACTTAAATTGTACGATAGCAAAAGTGATATCTATCATAAAGACTGTGGAGAAAAGCAAAAAAAAAATTCAGAAATTGCAAAAGAATTTAACATGACATTGAGTACTCTTTACACACATCTGTAAAACAAAGAGAAAATTTTGAAAAGCTTCAGCAAATAACAGAATCAAACAGAACAGAAAAGAGAGCATAAATATAAATGTCAAGATAATGAAAATTGTGTGCTGAAGTGATTTATACAGTTAGAGACAAGAACATTTCTGTTGATAACAAAAACTTCTTACAACAAAGTTGTTAGAGTTTAATCTCAAGACTAAATTACACTTTAATCTATAGAATTACCCTAAATTAAATGTATTGCACAAGTGTAAATCTTTGTGATAAACAGCCAAGTTAACTGGCAAATTTCAAGTAGTTAAAATTTATTCCATATATATTAGCGAAGAAACAAGATGGCAACCAGCTTCAATTCTGAAGCGGGTAACATTTAAAATACTTAAAGAAAGTTTATCCTAATATTGGTGGAATAGTTTTAATAAAAGTCAATTGTTGTAATGTTATGTAGCAATTGTAAGTTTTGAGAATCAATTTCAATTTAAAAAGCTACAATTTAAAGTAAGATTCACTTAACTTGTAATAGATAATTGTCCTTGACTGGATTCATTTTTTCCTCACTTTCAGTGCTTGTTTAATGTGCTTTATTTTCCTTTGAAAATTAGAAAGCTCTTAAGCTTTTAAGAGGCATTCTAAAAATATCATTCTTAAAACAAGATGTTTTCAACACAATTGACTGCATTGAAAATTTTGTTGAAGAAGCAATGAATTAGCAATAATAAAGTCATGTAACAAACTTTTTTCATTAATAGTGTCAAAGTTTTATTTTGTATATAAAAAATAAAGTATAATGTATTTAAGTCTAAATTATTTGTATTGCAATATTCATTCATTAAAATAATTTAGACTCAAAGTTCTGTAACTCAAAATTTCGCCTTTCAGGCCTGACAGCATTTGTATCCTATTTGGATACCTCACAGATATTATTTGATCAAATGCTTAAAGATCCAGTAAGAAAAGGGACCTACAACCCAATTCTCATTTTCACATGGTTATTATTATTAACTATTAAAATAATGACAATAAACCAACATGGACTTGAATAATTATACTAGTTACAGGACACACAATACAAATAATTAGTTGCATCATCCAATATCAATATGGTAGGATGTCACCAATATTCAAAATAAACTGAAATAGCCACTTAAAATAACATCAGACAATTTGGCTGTATATATATATATACAGCCGAATTGTCTGATGTTATATATATATATACATATTATCAATTCAGACCAGTACTATTTCAGAAAAATTTCTCATAATTTCATAATGTAAAATACATTACAAAATAGTCCACAGATGTAATCAATTTCATTTAACTTTATCATAGGACTACAGTTACAATCATATTTCTGCACAAATAAGACCATGCTTTTGTGTGTGAAAATTGTTTGTCTATGTTTTTGAAACAAATCCTGCTTCACTCATAAGAGCATACCTTGCATATAAGAGCATGCTGTCATGTGTGCCAGCTTGTTTTGGCTTATAAGAACACTGCACTCCTATGTCAATGTAAATTAAATTTAAATGTACTAATATAGTAACTATTTGAATATAACAATTTTACTATAAAATTGTTATATTACTATAAAATTGTTATATTATAGTAAAATATTATGTTATATTAAAATTCAGAAACATCAGTTTCATATCACAATAATGAAAATGAACATTTTCAAGTAGTTATTTTTTATTCTCATTCATATAGTTCATTCTACATATTTAATATGATAAATCTTTAATCATTACCTGTGTAAAATTGTAAAATGTGAGTAAAATATACTATTAGAATTCAGTTGTTATTTGAAACCATGTTTTTATTTAATGTGCTTTTTTAACACAAAGTGTATTATTACTAAAACACCAGACTACTCAATATCATTTATTCGTCTTTTTCAATACATTGTCAATAAGCATTTCTGGCAAACTCCTTTTCAGTTGACTGTGAAGTAATGCTCAAAACTTGGATACAAAATCTATCCTGACAGGTTACAGATTATACATCAAGCACACCATACGCCATAAAGGATTGACAATTCTAAAAATTCCAACAAAATTCTCTCTGTATATATGTTGCACTTTAGAGAGAAAGAAAAATCTTAAAAACGATGCAAAGAGATAGAATATTGTCAAATATAGTTATAGATCCATGTTCTGAGCATTACTTCACAGTTAAATGAAGAGAGTTGTGGTGGAAATGCATATTAACAATGTATTGACCAATGAAAAGAATGAATAAAAGATGTTAAATAGCCTGGTATTTCAGTAACAACATTTCATCATGTTCCAAAAAACATATTATTAAAATTTACAGAATATTAGTGCCTAAACTACAATGGGTGACTATTATGTATTAAAATATTCATAGAATTTTAAGTATATTCTTACCCAAGAGGAAATGTTATACAAGAGTCATGAAACCATTTCAAACAACCAGCACACTGAAGTTCAACAGTGTTTAAGTTACGTTCCCTGCCACTAACAAAAAAAAAATTGCTATTAGATTTTAACGAAGTATACATATAGCTATTATTTCAATTAATTCACTTAAGTTTTTTTAGTGAAATAGACAAATAAAACTAAACTACTCTTATCATAGCTTCTATAAAATAATTATTTTACAGTATCTTTTATAAAAACTACCTTTTCATTTAAATTCAATGCAAAAATAATTTAATTACCAATAACAATTTCCTAAATCAATTCCTTGTTCTTCAGAAACTGCAGTAGCAACAGAACTTTGACTTTCTTCATTAACCATAGGAGGTAGTTGTGACTGAGGTGCTTGCAATGAAGAATTGGATTGTTCATCTGTAATTACATCACATGATGATGCTTCATTATTGTTAACATTCATACATTTTTCATTATCCTTATTTTTTTCAGCAGATTGTGAATCTTGTTGGGATTCATCTAAATACATATCTAATAAATTAGATTCATTTAAATTTTTTTCTTCATTACTCATATCCATTGCATCAGAATTTTTTTTATAATTTATCAATTAATTTCATAGATGGCAATGAAGACTGAAATACTGTATCTGAAGTTTTCTGAATTCTAAAAAATAAAAATAAAAAATTTCAGTATATCAATATAATTTTTATTTAAAACACGACTTTCTTTTAACATGTTATATATCTCAATTTTCTGCATATATGTTCAAGCTCTTAGCAGATTCTGATTCCAACTAATTTATTTTTTCATTGTAGACATAAACTTTAAATGACAGCAATAGATTTATAGCTAATAAGTAAAACTAATAGCATTGGATGAATCAATAGCAGAACAAAGAAATAAGCAATTTATTTGTTCATATTTTTTTAATAAATTGGTATGTCTATCAAAATATAATAATTAAAGGTCATTTTAATAATTAAAAATTAGTATCTGGATATATAGTAAGTAAATATCCAAAGAGATAGATAACATGCCAAACTATTATCATAAATTTTAGTTCAATATTGCAATTATTAGTAAATTTATATTTAAATAGTATACAAAAAGCAATAAAATTTAAAATAGAGACCGAAGATATAACAAGACAAAGCATTAACTACCTAGATATTACAATAACAAGATTAAAACATCATCTAGAATATAGAACATTCAAGAAACCAAGCTCTAACCAAGTAACAACAAGATATCAATCAAAAATTCCGTCATACATTAAATATAATATATATAAAATGGAATACGACAAAATCATAAACCAGACAAGCCAAGAAGCACATATAAACGAAGATTTAATGGAATTAAGGAAGAAGTTTCTCTTAGCAGGATTTCCGCAAAGATTACTAAAACAATGGGAAACCAGAATTAAAGACCCCAGAAACCTATGTAAAAATAAAGATAAACAAGCAACTAAAACAAAATATATTAACTTTCCATATATTAGAGGTTTATATGAACAAATCAGTGCAGAAATAGAAAAAATAAACTACAAATTAGCACCATCATATCAAAAAATGGAAAGCAGACTGTTAACCACGAACCAGAAGAAAAACCAGCAAATACCGATCGAAAACCAAGGTGTAGTATACAAAATTCCGTGTACCTGCGCAAACAAAAAACATTACATAGGAGAAACAAAAAGAAAAGTAAAAACTAGACTGAAAGAACACATAGCAGATCTTAAATACAATAGAATAAATTCTGCATTTTACGAACATTGTACTATAAACAACTGTAATATAGATAAAGATAACGTAGAAATACTGCATAAAGAAAAATTAAC